AAGAAGACCGGCCGGGGCAACACATCAGCACAGTGCCCAATGTGTATGTATGTATGTATGTGACGGTATGGGGTGTGTTGGGCAGAGTATATGTATGAGTGTGGGTGGGTTGGTGGGTGGGGACAAGCAAGCGAGAGGGAGGGCTCGAAGGTCGAGAAATGAGGAGCCAGAGAACTTCTGCTCCTTGAGAACCTGCACTGGGCGTGTCTTATCCTGCAGCCCAGCTCATGATTCACACTTCAATACTTGCATTCAAGGCATTTCATGCTTTACATTTTTAGCTTTTTTCCTTTCTGCCATGGCCTATGACTCCCTCGCCCACGGGTATCGCTCGCTCTCTTTCTACCGAGACCGACCAAATTCTTCCGAGTCTGTGCTGCTGCATTATGCCTATCTGCTGGACTATCATTCTCTTCCCTTCCCTTCCCTCGTCCTTGGGATTGTGAAGTGGATGTTGGGGACGAGGAAGCTTGGTTATGTCACTTATGTACGCATCATCTGAGTAGGCAATGGTGCCGTGCCCAGATCAGATGGCCTCAGGTTGCCAGTGACCGACGGCCTTGCCTCACTCCGATGGGATTGCATCGCAGCGCCAAGCCACCGACAGCTACCCACTCTCGATGGCAGTACGATCTGGGGTCCGGTTCTGGTAAATCGACCAACCGTATGTCGGACTGGCTGGTCTGCCGGCCATGCACTTCGTAAATCCTCATTCGACTCTGGCTTGGTTTTCTGCCAGGTTGTGGACCTCGTAAGGGTTCTTCCTCTGTAATCCACTAATCAATCAGTCCCGGTGAACCTTCAACTCGCCCTGCTTCCATTCATGACTTGTAACAAGCCCAGCCCAAGGACAAGACCCTTCTTCCCTGGGCTGCACGAAGCGTGATAGACGTATGCTGCTCCCCTTGGGCTTCTGCTACCACTACTAAGGAAGGCTCGGCTCCAGCTCAGTGGGTCTCCTGAGGCTGGTAGTTGCGCTCCCTGACCCTCAATCAATCAGGCAACCGAGTCGTAACTCTGTATCGGTCTTATGACGAATAATGATTCGTCGTAAAAGCGATCTGCGAGACGAAAACGTACGCATCTTCATCAAACGCTTTCCGCAAGTGACAGAACGTCGATCGCTGGATCGACATTCTCAGAGGCTGGGCCGGGCTGATTCCCTTTCGCCCTCCTCGTCATGAGTCCCACAGGATTATGATGCGCGCATTTAGAAGCGTTAAAGTCTGTCACCAGGATTGACCAAAGATGCTCCGACTTCAGACGGCCCTATAAGTAAGCGCGTACAGTCTTTTCTTGCTTCGCCCCTCATCCCTTGTTCCTCGTCTTCGCTCCTGCATCGATCGACACCCTTAAATTTGTTGCCCCCATGCAAAGCCTTTAGACCTCTGTCCACGAGCATCGCCTGAACTACCTCCTTCACTTTCTCGCTCCCATCCCGTGCATCATAATCCATCCTCCAGAGAGAAAGACGCCAGGTCCTAATGACTACTAGCCAGGGTCTTAATCATGTATGGACGATAAAAACTGCAGCTGCTATCATCAATCACATTCCTTTACTTGGTGGCCAGTCTTTCTTTTTTTACCTGTCGACCTCGAAGTCTTCATCGTGACCTCACGATACAGCCCGACCGCACACCAATTTGGCCAGGAAGTAAGGACGACTCTCCCTTTTCCTTACACCACAAGCAAGCCAGTCCCCTCGCCAACACTAGCACTACTACCAGCAGCACACAAGCATATAATCTCAAACATGTGATTATTTTGCCCTTCTTGTGAAAGGGCAGGAGATGAAGTAAGAAGTTTTCACGTAAAGCAAGCTTGGTGGAGTCCATTTTCACGGGAACAACATTTGGACGAAAGCTCAGATGCCTTCTGCACTGTAAAGAGAGAGGTAGAGGGAAAGCGCAAGGACAACAGTCAGCACAAGTAGCAACAAAGGAGGTGTGTCGGTTCTCATCATGACCTCATCACAAAACAGACTATGAAATGGTCATCTCCGTATCATGTGGAGTTGAAATTCTGGCTGGCTCGCAGGAGTGATTTTGATGAACCAATTCACCCTGCAGATTGCATGCTTCGTTGAACCTAAGCGGTGCGATGTGATGCTTTTTCCTGAGATTTTTTCTTTCACCGGACCGGACCTTTGAAAAGTTAACCTACCTCTGCCCCCACATCACTCCTTTCCAAAATAACATTCAGTTTCATCCGTCTATTCCCGTCCCTCGAGTCCTCTCAGACGACATCTTTTGCTCCCTGCACTGGGTTGGATACCCTTTCAACACGCACACACCCACATCCCACTTCCGCCCTATAGATTATCAAAATCAGCATTTCACATCGTTGGTCTGATCCGAATGAGAGAGAACTTGACCAGATATACTCAGTGCCCTCAGACTTCCGACTTCCGCAGTTTCGCATCATGGACCGGCCTACTTATCACGATAAGTTGGTATAGGTTAATCCAACCATAGCTTGCTCGGCAAGATAGCCTCAGGACTTCGGCTGTTGTTTCTCACCGTACAAGCTGCAAAAGAGTTCAGAGAAGTTAATGTAGTCCATGCCAAGTCAATGAAGCTCTCATTGGCCAGTGAGTGCAAATTTCTCTTTTCTGGCCTTATTGCACTATAGGCGAGTAAACAGCAACAGATAATTTTGGAGTACTATGCATACCATACATTTTGTCAATAAATTCCGATACTTTCAGTTCTCATAAGGCCGTCCACATTATATTTATTGATAAACATCTTTGGGACGGATTTCAAGTCCTTGATCTCTCTAGTGGTTTCAAGGTGAATGCAGAAGTTGATAAAGACGAAATTTTTAACTATTGATTTCCAAATTTCATGTATCATCAGATAGATCGTTGAAGAAATGTCAACTCTTTGTTAATGTAACTTTGAAATAGGAACATCAAAATATACATGTCTACTATGCGGCATAGGTATCAATTACCGTGGAGTATCATAAACCCCATCTTCGACTAGAGTTTTTCATGCCGCACGAATAACACTAGTTGGTGCAGTAGTCATCGAATGTAATAGCCTTTGGCTTTCCTTACATGACCATTGGGTTTCAACCTTGAGGGAGCTAATGCGGTAAACCCATCTTTCCGGTTAGTTTATTGTGTCCCCTCGTGCTCTTAGTGCACTATTTCCTTTTGTGCATGCCGACAAAAAGTAAGTATGGATGGAGTTTCATCTTCTTCCGGGGAAAACAAGTGGAATCATTGAATGTGAATTTCAGCCTCAGTCTTTGTTATAATCGAGGAGCGCAACCAAGGATAGATTGTACTAATTGAAGAGTCCAATTTGAGATGAGCAAGGAGAGAGAGATATCAAAGACCAGAGAGAATTGTGTACATAAAAGAGCATGCGAACGCGATAGGACCCACCTCATATTCTCCGCTAGGGTAGTCAACTCTCATTAGGTCGGCAAAAGATGACAAACCGTGAGTGACAAGTGAGGCCTTGAGGGTTACTGATGTTTCTGGAGTGCGGGAGAGAGCAGAGACTAACCGACTGGGCTTTGGACTTGTCGTTAACCAACATGGAGTAGACGGTAACAGAGTTAGAGCCGACAGCATATATCATCCCCCATCTTCATATACTCAGCCGTTGTGAGCACAATCACTTGCATAGCGAAAGTGGCATATTGCAGGAGTTGACTGGACATACCATCGTTGCGATGGATGCGAAGGAATTCAATTCAAAACTTCACTTTGATGTTAGAGGTCACTCTCAGCACCCATCGTTTTTCCTCGATCTGAGACCTGTTTTGAGGCGTGAGTGAAAACGAACCTTTCGGTTCGTCGGTTCAAGGAGCAGTCCGATTGGCTGCTCGCATTCCCAAGATTTGACTTTGCACCTGTCAAGAGAGTTTCACTGCATCTCATTCTTGGAAACATTTACTGATAGCTTCTGCGCTTTCTTCACCAGAAAAACAACGTTCGAGATTTCCTCTTTCGGTTACGTGAGAGTTTCTTTCTCGCAGACACAAAGCACATACACAATTGCAGCACCCAGCCAGCTATCGCACCGAGGAGGCAACTTAACTTCGCAAACACTGATGCAGCGCCCGAGAACTTATGTTTCGGAGTTTGAAGAGTTGAGATACATGAACCAAACATCCAAACCCCAGGCTGAGGACGGTCGACACTTTCCAGGCTCCCATCTCCGCGACAGTCAACTCTCTGTTACAGTAACTGGGTGGACATGTTAAATTGGCCTTTCCTACCTGCCCAACATAAGAATGCTTTCAGCCGCAAATTCTTCCGATGGTAATGATCCCAGTCTCTTGATCAAGCGCCGATTCCAGTCAAATGCTCATTGAAGATTGACGCAGTTACGTGTCTACAGCAACAAATGTAAAAGCTCAGAACGACGACGACCAAGATGTGTCAAATCGTGGACACGGAGATTTCAGTCTTTAAGACTCGACTGGCTCTCTTCGCTGCGCGACAATCACCGGCACTTCCCCGACGCCCTCTCTTGGGCGCAGGTCGCTCGTGACTTGCGTCTGCTGTCCCCTCTCAAAACACTACTGTTTAGGCCAGCCATTCCCTCCATACAGTGCAATCAATGTGTCCCTCTCGTGACATGTATTGGTGCGGCTTCGATCAGAGATCACACAAGGTCAGAGACAACAATGAAACCGGAGGGTATCACTATCTCGGAAAACACTTTGTCCACAGGTATGAGGGAGTCCTTTGAGCTCGTGAATGCGAATTCAGAGACCCATGCGACCCACAGAGAGCTTCTCAGCTTCAGAAGGACCACCGGGATTGCGACATATACATTAATTTCACACTGAGGCTGCGAACAGAGTTAGCCCATTCGCCTCCGTGAGTGCTCGCACTGTAAACAGGCAAGACATTAGGACGGTAAATTTGACATCAAACGAACGCTGGGCCAAAGCACTTCTACAATTCTACCATCAAAATAAAATGTTCCATTCCGCCTCATAAACATGGTCACCGACAAGCAGAGGAGACAATCGATGCATTTAGTGAATATTGACAAATAGCCTGAGGGCAACATTGAGCAAATTGCGTGAGTGAACGAGGGGTTCCGCGATTTCACAGGGCATAACGCGAAGACAGTAGTGACTTCACGATGCCCTCTCATCTGAAAATGACCCTAAGCGCGAGAAGTGCTGGAACACAAAAAAAAAATTTCGTTTGAATGTTAACATGCTTACAATGTCGGGATTAAAAGGAGAGAAATTTTCACAAGAGAGAGCTTTTCACAAGATTCCTAAGGGTGGGGGAGGGTGTAGTGATCAAAGCGGGGAGATGAGTATGAGCCTCTCTATATTCGGGGCGTGCGTTCACTAGGCTAAACCCTCGCCGAGAAATAAGACTAATTAGGTAGGAAGAGGATGAAGATTCGAGCAGATAAGAGCCCCAAGGGTCACCGAACTCTCTCGACGAGCCTCTTGGCCTCCAAAGTCTGAACCTGCAATTGGAGCAACTTCACATAGTGTATAGCCTCGTCCAGAACGATGGCCGTGTCCATGCAATCTCCGCCTGGAATGATGTTTCTCAAGAGCTTCACGGTCTTCTTAATCTTATCTCGCCTAGACTTCCTGGCCGAGCCGGATGAGATCGAGTCGCCTTCGTCTCCGTCCTCCTTGCTGCATGAGCTACATTGTTGCTCCTCAGGCATCTCGTAGCCGAAGTCGTCGCACAGCATTTGCAGCTCGAGCGCAGACTCGTCCAGACAGTCGTCTGCTTCGCTCTCCAGGGCGCAAGGGGGACCCAGGGAATCGCCACTGAAGGCATCGACCACCGAGACACTCGACGAGCAGGTGCCGATGCAAATGTCCTCGACTTCCTCTTCCTCCTCCTCCTGCGACCTCTGCCGCTTGAATTTCGAGTCGACCTCCTCGTCCAACACGCACGGCCTCTTCCTCGACGAAGGCTCGCACGGTCGGATGTTGTCGTCCTCCTGAAGGCCGAAATGGCAGGTCAATTCGCTGCTCGGCGCATTGCCGGTGATGCTCTCTTCCTCGTCGGAGCATCCTAGCAGCGCTTCCAAGTCGTCGGCATCCTCGTACAGGTAGCCTCCTCCTGCGGCTCGGCTGGATTCCTCCTCGCTCGCTTGAAATGCGCTGTAAACCTCCTCGGGAAACAAAGCTGTCGGATTTTGATGGCGAATCTGATCGTCGTTTTTGTCTTGCTGCTGCTGCTGGACTGCAGCGTAGGCCGAAGCCACCGTCTCTCGGCAGGCCGCCATTCGGGGATCGCATTTGTCCTGCACAGAGTTCCTCAGAAGAGTGTCCTCGAACTCCTGGAGAGACATGTCCTGGTACAAGTCTGGAGAGTTAGGCTGCGGAGGCGACGAAGAGCTCGTCGGGAACTCGTGCAGCAGGCGAGAAGGGTGCTGGAAGATCCGCCCCTTTCCCCCGCTCTGATCAAACATGATGTAGTTAAAACGTCCCGACTCTGTACACGGTTTCTGGGACTGCCACCGCTCTACTAAATCAGCGGCCAGATTCTGAAAATTCTTACAAGCTGTACCCAAATCCAAATCCTCGAACATTTCCAGTCTTCACGTACGCCCCGAGAGATATGTTACAGTCCGAAAGTAATCCGGACGGGCGGCGACACGGCAGCTGGAAACGTTGAGCAGATTTCAGCGAGAATGATGTATGTCACAAAATGTCAGTCTGTGAATGCGACGCCGCGAACGAAATCATGTGTTTCCTGCTGTTGTTCGCATTTAAAGGTGAAGGAGTAGTGTAGTGTAGGATGACCGGCGTCGAGCAATACAATGATTTGCTAGAGTGAAAAAAGGCGGCGTGTGCAACCATCTACGAGTAGTGACACCTGCAATCGAGAGAACCCCGAAGCTGAGAATGAACGAAGAATTCCGCCGGTGAGTGGAGCGGAGCGAGCAAGAGAGTCTGGGAACGAACGCCTCAACAGTTCAGCGCAAAAGACACATCCACTTGAGATTTGTAGAGTTGGGACAGGCACCTGCAGGGAAAAAGGCGGTGTTAGTGCTGAAGATACTGCTTTATAAAAAAAGCCCAACGAATCGTCGAGAGGTTGGTTCCGTTGGTCGCGTGAGAAGAGGAGGGGAAGGAGGAGCGGAGCGGAGACGGGTTCCGGGCGAGCGCGATCTGACTGGGAGGGCACAGGGCAATTGGGGAGGCTGGGCCTGCATAAAACCAGCCAGCCCTGGTCGAACGCAGTAATGTCTTTGAATCACCTCTCATGATGGTATGGCCCCTGGAACTATGCCCATGGATGTACGCATGGTAGCTGCGATGGCTCTACAGTGATGTGTACCTACCAGTACTATCAAACAGCTGCTGCCAACTACAGAAAGTGATATGTTGTGGATTAATATTTCCTATTCCGTCTCAGTCTCAGTATTCAAGTGAATGAATAAAATTGAATATTCTTATTTATTTTCCTCTCCAAGGCCTGAATCAGAGCAAATTGAACTTGAGGGTTCTCGCCAGGAAACGTTCCAGTAAACGGTGGCTTGGAGTTATCTGAGGTTGGTGCTTCAGTAGAGCCACATCTTCAAGTTTAACCACTAGGTTACAGCCGACTGTATTTATACTTGACATACTTGCTCCATCAAATCAATCTTGAGCTAAGGTTTGTTTATTAATACTAATAAACCTAATCGTCCCTTCAATACAGTGTATGTAGACGCGATGCATTCGGGTGAGCAAATTGAATAACTACAGTCGACAAATGGCTCCCTCCGAACCAAAAATTTGAGCTCAAAAGATTAAACTATATGTGGTCGATTGAACTTTGGAGTGAAAAGAATGACATGAAGTTTTTGTCACACCCTGAGCCAATCAGTCTGATTCAACCTTAGGATGAGAGAAGGGCCTCAGCAAATCTCTTATTGATAAAGACCTGGAGGACAAATCGTCGGCATGTTGATGAATAAAGAGGAGTAAGTATGAGCGGGATGGTACCGATGTCGGGAGAAGAATGGCGTTGAGCTTGAAAAATCAAACGCAGAGCATAGCAGATTAGGGGAAGAACGAAAGAAGATGTGCAGATCAAAAACTTCTTTTACTACTTGCACCCGGCACAGCAAGTGGTGAAGAGCTTGGGAAGAAAGCTACAAGAAAAATGTGAGCAGAGCACTCATAAAAAAACATGTTAATTTGCGTGCTTTATATGTAACTATTTATTCATTTTTAGTTAATATATTCAAAACTTACTTCACCTACTCTAGCACAAAAGCGTCGGAGAGAGAGACGCCGTCAAAGTTACGGTAATCTGGTGTTATGTATGCTGTCGTGGCGCCACTTGGCACGCCTGGGCATTTGCTTTCAACCTTTAGACAAGATGAACTACCAAAACGTGCCCCCTCCCGCTAACTTGGCCGGAAGTTGCCGCGAGTCGGCTGTTATGCGACTCTGATCTCGTAATAACCAAAGCCCGTGTCTAATCCCTCGCACTCTTTCCCTCTCGGAGTGTTCATTCTATCACAATCTCATCAGTAAGTAAAGCCATTTCTGTTCCATTTATCGCCTGCAAGACCACTATGGTACACTAACTTCGGTAACCTATAGTACCTTTGTCTTCTTCTTTTCGTCTTTCACTCCACCCGGTGGGTGGTTGTTGTCGTGGTATTGAAGGGCAACATGAATAAAACAAATTCTCTGTTCTGTCGCTTTACTCCTAGCGTTATTGTTTAGAAAGGTTACTTGATCTGCAAGAACCAAAGTTTGCACCGGGACCCTACAATCGATGGGCGCAAATTGCGTTTCCTATTAAATTTGAATCATGTGAATACGAAGTCCAATGTCGAGATGACAAAACCTTTCTCTTTTTCTGTATCCCCCCATATTTATTAAGATTTTGATCGAGGCTTGAGCATATTGCATGTGCTTACTTGAGGCTTGCGTTTTTCCACGAGTATTTATCCTACATGAGGATTGTCTAGTTTACCGTTGGAGAAACCAAGGGAATAATCAGTGCTCGGAATGGTGGTATTCCATCAACCGCTGAGTTGAGGGGCCTATATGGCAATGATGGGCGTAGCTTCATACTCCAAAGGAGCATAAACTATGCAAGTTTGACGAAAGTTGGTCCTGCGACAAATGGTCTCCAAGCACTTGAAATCCGGGAATTTATTTAGGGGCTATTGGTTGGTTTACATTCACAAGTCGCATTATCGAGGCTCATTTACACCTTTTCTCCCGAGCGAAAAAAATTTGTGCAGTATCCTGAATCTACAGAAGTGTGTTTATGATTAATACTTTTGTTACCGTGATGTTGGGGCCGATCCAGCAAGCAAGATAAAATTAGGGGCCAATAGAGGAGCAATGGGATGCAAACGCAAGAAGCAACAACATGAAAGTGCTTGATCGAAACATGCCGACCAAACAGGACTCAGCACATATATCCAGGAAAGAAGCATAGACACTAACCACTGAAGAATGGAGTGAGCAAACAGAGATCAGCATATGTTTATACGTATGTTAACCACTAATTACCGAAGAGGATCGAGCTCAAATCTCAAGACGAAAGCAACGGGGATTACTCAAGTTACCGAAATCAGCAATTGGGTAAATCTCATTTATAAACCTATTTAGAACAGGAATTCGCACAAGCAAGCAAATTTTATTCTAACATCGTCCAAGGAGGATCGAGCACGCATAATCTGATCAAGTGCATAGAAGCAAGCAAACAATGTATTACACTGTGACCAAGAGAATTGAATCTTTACTCGTCACCATTTTCCTCTCCATATTCATTGAATAAGTACAGTATAAACCACTTAGATGATTTGGGAATGAGTGAATTGAGGACGATTGTAAAGCAGGGCACGATTTGAAGAACGAACTGTAGTAGAGAGATTTTCCTTCAGAATAATACGTTCAGCCCAGAAAGGGGAAGGGGCTGCCGGAAGTCAGAGCCACCTGAGGCAGGACTGAGTCAAGCATGACATTTTGTGTGGGCTCCCGAAACTCCATCTCAGGCGATATGGAACACGGTTGCAAGTGATTTACTGTAGGCAGGTTTGCTTATTTTGTTGAGTTTCATGTCTTAACGTGTACTATCTCCCTTCATAAAGTTGTAAAGGGAGTATGTTTAGAAACGGGTATCGGAGTCATGATTAAAAAGAGCATGATGTGGGTGCAAGGTTTCTCAACGTGTACAAGATCGAATAATAAAGCTGAAGTGCAAAGTCTAAAAAAATAAAGGTCACGATTACGAACAATAACAACATGAGGAGGGAGGACATGTAGCCCCCCATGCCTCAGCTTTTACCTTCTTGATGTCGTTTCTATTCTAACTTCCTCTAAGTGCAGTTATGGTGGGGTAACTATTCTAACTTCCGGAGCTCTCCTATAGGTAGGTATATCATGCTCGTGCCCATTCTACAGCATACTGTCAGCACAAGAAAAGAAGTCGTGAGAGAAAATGTCCTTCCTCTCCCTCTCACTTTCTCTATACCTCAGCTTGAATTTGCGAAACCTTAGCTTGCTTCCAACGAACGAGGGCCCTTGAGGTCATTCGCTTCAACCCTACTTCTCTCTCCTCTTCATTGACAATTGAGAAGATTGACTGTGATCTACAAATCCTGTGCCACGAGATAATTCAGCCCAACAAGATGAAGTTTCAGCGTATTGCATCATCATTCTCATCATTCATACTCAAGCCAACTTGTCACATCCTTGCCCTCTCACTTTCGAACTTCTCTCCGTAATATTTCCCAAATTTAATCATTGATAGCCGAAGTGCTTACACGACATTTGCATCTCCAGCTAGCCAGCAGCTCCTCCTCTGAGGCTGCCCGCCTGCCGCATGAAGAACTATGAGATGCTCGTCTTTAATTCCATCTGGGCGCTCGATGAAACTCTTACATGTTTTGCTAACTGGATTTGACTCCTGTTTCGTCACTTCCTCCTCATTCATGACTTCTGCCCTTCATGGGCCTCAAAATGGAGCACACCCAAAGTGTCAATAACTCAGCTCCTTCATTTTGGTCATGATCATTCATTTGCCATCATTTGGATTTTTCCTCAAATTAAGGGCTCTGAAAATGGAACGAAGTGAGCCTATGAACTTTCGCCACTCCCCAAGGAAGAAAGGATTACATCACCTCATCATCACCCTCTTGTCATTCATTCTTGCTCTTGCGGGCACTAGATCTTCTTCGCTTCAATTATAGCTTGGAAAATGCAGATGCTGTGGAGGCGCCCACGAAACAATCTCGTCATTAGAGACGGGAAGACACGACTAGACACAACAGATTAATGATCCCCCTCCATCTCCTTCACGACTTGTAACGTGAATAAGTAAAGTCTATCAATCAAAGACATCTCTACTCCTCCAGAAGAATCCGATGCAACGGACCGGCGTGGCCTGTCCCAAGTCTTCATCAGCTTAACATTAGCTTATGCCATTCTGTCGAGTATATTTCCTGCAAAATCTCTAACTTTTGTCATGTCCTGATGGAATACAGCCTTGAATACTTCAACTTTAGAAACGAACATTTACTCAGACGATTTTCGGGACGCCATTCATGGCTAGTTCTATGCAGTGAAGTGAGATCAACTTTAGGTGTTTCGTCACTCCATCCATATACTTGACAATGGTGGATGTGCAATACATATTCCATGCTTGGACAATGACTGGGTCTTCAGAAACCTTCCGGCTCCTTCTACTCCATCGAGGTTACATAATGTATCTTCTTTTGTAGGGATGGGATGTATGTGAAACTATCTTCTTTCGACGATCGGATTTGGAAGCTTTCTTTTTGTTTATGCATGTAGCAGCCCGTCTCTTTTCTCAACCTTTTCCAGCATCGGCAAATATTTGAACATGTGGTTTTCTTTGTTGCTCCAGGTACAGTTTGTAGAGCATCATTTCCTTGTTTAAATCCTGGTGGGACACTATTAGTTGTTGAAGGAGAAGATCCTTCCGAGGGAAAGGGTGCACCATTGATTATAGTATATATCAGCTCGGGTGACAATGCCCTTGACCTTCATTAAAAAACAAAAACATCATTTGTCATACGCTGTCAGAGCTTTAGTACTGAGCAGGAGAAGCACCTGTGGGATATATCTTTACACATGTTGAATACCTTTTTTTTGATTTTATTATAGACTTTCTTCGAGTATTCGCGTCACAAGTTAAGAGCCCCTTAAACTTTGCGTGGCCC